ATTTGGGTTTTCTACTTGTGTCCAGGTTCCAATTACTTTTTTTCGGAAGTTGACAGCTTGAAGGATCCCTGAGATTGTAGGAGTAGGTGAAAGGTCTCACAGAGTAACCTCATGAATGAATTTTAATCAGTTTAGTACTATTGTGGATGATATTATAGCTCACTTTAACTTCTTTTTTGAACTTGTCTAGTGGGAGCAGTTGCATAAGTTATTTAACTAATTTGCTGTTTCCTTATGTGCCGTGATAATGATAATGGATAGCCATGATGATATTTTGTTACGTGCTTTATAATTAGCCTCCGCTCTAAATCGTCATTGTTGATTTCTTTCATTCTTGGGCAACATGGAAAATGAGTTACTAAGAATACCTGGAATGTTGTTTTGGTTTTAAACTAACCGCTTAGATAATATTATTATTATATGTTGTCTTCTGGTTCAAACCAATCTGGTGCTTTCATTTTAATAAAACGTTGTTTTGTTAGGATTTCCAAAGGTGATTGAATTGGAGATTCAGGATGATTGATTATAAAGAGACCCTGGAAAGTGGAAATAATTGGTCCAACTCTAGCAGGACACAAGCTGTGTTGCATTTTCTTTTCATGTCGCACTTCCAGTTCCTCCTCTTGAAACTGGAATCAGAGGAACGGTGTGGTGTGGTATGAGTACTGGGGTGATTTCTTTTCGAGCTGTTTGTTGCCTTACCTAAATTGATGTTGACATTTTTATGGTTTTGTACTGTAGATGCATGCTTAATGTTACTTGGTGGATTTCATTCTGCACAAATGATCTTCCATCCATGCTCTATGAATTAGGCCAAAAAAAAAAAAACCACAAATATCTTCTCTCTATGCGGTTCAAATTTGCAGTTTTTTGTTCAGTCTAACCAACTAAAACCAAGTCACCAAGGTACTGTTGGTCCAAGTAGAAGCAGTTCTGTTTCTCGTAAGCAAGATCTTAAATCCGAGTTTTGTGAATAGAGAAATAAATATTGAGAGAGTTTTCTGTATTAAAGTTCTGACGTGGTTCAATTTTAAATTTTAAATTAATCAAGTAATATCATTGTTTGTTCAAAGGTTAAGTTGTGGGCCGGCCCAAAGGACCAAGGTTTGGGGCTTGGGCTTAAGCACCCAGCCCACGTGTAAATGACGTTATGACAATCACGGGCGGCGTCTGCCCAAAGTCTTTCGGTTAAAATACTAATTTAGTCCCTGAGCTTTTAGACTTGTACCATTATTGTCCATCAACTTCAAAAAGTATCAAAATTGTTCTTAAACTTTAATTTTTAATACCAAAAAGTCATTCATTAACAGAAGTATCATGGTATTTGTCATTTTGTCACAAAAGCAATCTTTTAAAACAATACTAATGATGTGTAAAATCAAAGTCATATTTTGTTATTATGATATATTTTTATTTACATATCATATTAATATATAATTAAAGTTAAAAATCATATTAGTATTTGTAATAAAAGTTCAAGAACTAAGATAGTATTTGTTTCAAAATTTAAGGACTAAATTAATATTATCTTTAAAATTTGAGAACTAATTCAATACCAAAAATTAAAGTTTAAGGGCAAACAAAGTTGTAGAAAGCGTTAAATAATGTGAGCAGTTACCCATAGATTAGAGCCTAGAGTGCATAGGTAGTGCCTAGGCTATCTAGGTGCTTTGTTTTAAAAAATAATTTTGTAATATAATATTAAAAAAATAGGGAAAAAAGTGAAATAAATTTAAAAATTACAAAAAAGAGAAAAATTAAAATTTTTTATATCCATTATCATTGTAAATTTACTTACCTTAATCATTTTATTGTGTAGGGTCTACGTATGGATGAAACAAGTTGGCACTTCTACTTGGTACAAATAAATGTAACTTTAGAAGCAAAGAACCTTGCATACTAAAGTATGTGAAATTGTGTTATATGTACTCTTAATATAATTTTTCATCAATAAAGAATGAAGGAATTATAAACTGAATGCATACTTGGTACTTACATTCAGATTTTGTTTTCAAAAGCACAATTGCACTAGTAACAAAATACTAAAAAAATTACATGATATAACCATAAGTAATTAAATTAAATTAAAATACTTCTACATTATTATAGTTTTGCTACTAAGCATTCAACTCCTACCTGTATAAGGAATGAAGAAAGGCCTAATTGTCTAGCCTTAAACAATAATACCATGTCTATTGTCTTCTTTTCATTCAATAACCAATGAAGAGTTGAAGCACTTGGAATCATGGAACAAGACTTGTCTATAAAGTCTTTAAAAAAAAAAAAAAATTGGTGCTACCATTATCTTTGATAATGATTCTAATAGTAATAATAATTGGATACGAGTCAAAAAAGAAAACTAAAACAAAGTTGTACTGCTGAACTAAAATCCAAAACCATGGATAGTAAAAGAATTGAGATCCAAGTGCAACAAATGAAAACATAGTTGAAACATAATTGCACACTTGCACTAGTATGCTAAATTAAAATCCAAATCCATGGACAAAAAAAGAATTAAAATCCAAATGCAAAAAAACTAAAACATTGTTGCTGCATAGCACTACTATCTATTATACTGAACTAAAATCTAAATACTTGAACAAATAGAAAACTAAAATCCAATTGTAACTATTCATCATCGGACCAAGGTTTTGCATCATCTCCTTGAAATTGGAGTACCCTATCTTCATCACTATAAGCAAATCCAACATCTTCATCTACCCCTAGTTCCCTTCTCATCTGAAGACTCATCTAACTCTTCATTAAACTCCCTCATTAGGGGAGTAGTAAAACAAGACCCAATGCTTCTTTTAGGCTTTAAAATTGAATCCACCCTTGATGCTTTTGCAAACATAGTAAGAGGAATATTTGTTCATGGAAATAGGTCATATTCCTCATCAATATCGCCATTCTCCACTAACTATCCTTGTGCATCAGTGGCATCACTAGCAAGTAAGATATATCCATTCTCACTAGGTCTCTTTTTCTTGTTGGATAGCTTTGCATTGAATTCAATAAAAACCAAATCATTAAATCTAAAAGCTTCAAGCTTATTCCTTTTCTTAGTGTGTATCTATTAATAAAAAAAGCACAAATATTAGTATCATATATTCATATATAAAAAAAATATAAAATTAGTATCAAGGAAGACATTTTATTTTTAGTACAAGGAATGCTAAGATTTTTAAAGTTCCCAAGAGCTTAAAAAAGATAGATGTTAGTTTAGGGAAACACATTTCATCAATTATGATTAAAGAATCTCTTATAAAGCTAATGGTTGATATATAAAATAATAAACACTCACTTACCCCCTCAAAGCAACTCCAATTCCATTCACATTTTGAAGCACTAGAAGTCAAGGACAAAATTCTTGTTACCATTTTGTAGAGATATGGAGTTCATGATCCCCAAGTTATTCACCATGCAACTATAAGTTAACCAATTTACAAGAAATAGACAAATAGTTAAAAACAAAATCTTCAATTAATTAAACATAAACATTAAGAAGGAAGAACAAAAGCATTAAATAATTTAATAATGCACTTGGATCAAAACTATCCATTGGAACCTATGTTCCACTAATTGCACTCTTTCTTGAAAAGCAACTTGCATGAAGCTTGTATTTGACCAACTTGGTGCTTTGAACTTCATAAATGACATCTTCATCATTGATTAAAAAAATTTTCAGTGCAATCTAATGTGGCTAATTGAAGCTTTGAATCCATCTTAATACTTGGATCATTATAAAAACAATGTGGATTCAACAAAAATACAACTTTATGTAAGGATGTATCAAGCCTATTTTTACTTTTTTTCATCAATGATGTCCAAAACACACATACATCCTTTTTCATTGTTCTTATACATTGCTTGTATTTCATTTTTTGCCTTCTCCAACTCTCCAAGAAAGAAACCCATAGATGGTCTACCATCCGCATCAATTAGCCGCAAAACCTATACAAGTTTGTAAATTACAAATTAAACACAATAACTCAACATAGCAAATTCTAACTAAATGAAAAATATCGAGTGAGAAAATATTATCAACATGGATAATAATAAAAAAAAAAAAACCAATTTGATATTAGAATAGAGGAAAAAGGAAAGAAAAAAGACAAACCCTCACTAAAAGAGCAAAAACCTTCAAGCACATATTAACAGTTTTTCCAAAATGAAACACTAAACATTGTTGCTTGGCTTGAATTCCCTTACTAGATTTATAACATTGGGACTTTTTCCATTCATTCAAAGGGAACATAAGCCTCAACTTCTCCTTTTTCTCATATAAGCTTTGTAAAGTGAGAAATGAGGTTGCAAATCTTGTCACTCTCGAACTTACTATGTTTGCCTTTAAGGTATACTTATGTATCAATGCTAATGTTCTTTGATGTGCATATATATAAATTGCAAGATTCTTAGCCCTTGTGATGGAATTATGGAATTTGGGGATCTTGCTAATTCCTTCAAGTATCAAGTCGATTGCATGGATAACATAACAACTCCAAAACAACTTTAGCATTTTTTCTAAAACAAGTCTTGCTACTACCTTATTGTTTACAACATTATCAGTGACGACTTAAACAACATTTGCTTCTCCAACCTCATCAATACCCTTATTAATATAATTGGTTATATACTCAGCAATATGGGCATCCTCAAATTCTTCCTTGGATGAAAGAAAAACCATTCCTAACCTTGAGTTTACACATAAGTTTATGATGCTTCTACTTTTCCTATCTGTCCAAACATCTATCATTAATGAGTCTCCAGTTTCATTCGACTCTTCTTCTTGGTTTTTTAGTGACTAGGCTATGCCTAGGCTCACTTTTTACAACATTGTGGGAACAATTTTAGTACTTTCTGAAGTTGAGGGATAATTTTAGTATAAATCTGAAAGTTGAGGGACTCAATCTGGTATTTTAACCAAGTCTTTACTGAATCAGAGATCAAAATGGGCAAAACTGAGATGTGATGAGAAGAGAAGCTTCCTTGAGTTCCTTCCTCTTCCTTTTCCCTTTGCCCTTTTCCCTTTCCCTTTTCCTTCAGTAAGTAAAATCCATTCCCTTAATCCTAATATAAAGGGTTTTCTAAACCCCTAGCGCTCCCCTTCCCTTCTTCTCCAATGAATTAAAGGTTCTCCCTTTTTTTCCCCCCCTAATTTGATTTCCCCAGAAACCCTAGAATCCACAATGGCCGAACACTTGGCCTCTATCTTCGGTACCGAGAAGGACCGCGTTAACTGCCCTTTCTACTTCAAGATCGGTGCTTGTCGTCACGGTGACCGCTGCTCTCGTCTTCACAACCGCCCCACCATCTCACCCACACTACTTCTCTCCAACATGTACCAGCGTCCGGACATGATCACTCCCGGCGTTGATGCTCAGGGCCAGCCCATCGACCCCCGCAAGATCCAGGATCACTTTGAGGACTTTTACGAGGATATCTTTGAGGAGCTCAGTAAGTTTGGCGAGATCGAGAGCCTTAACGTCTGTGACAACCTCGCTGACCACATGATCGGCAACGTCTATGTTCAGTTTAGGGAAGAAGACCAGGCTGCCGCTGCCCTCCAGGCTCTACAAGGTAGGTTCTACTCTGGTCGGCCTATTATTGCCGATTTCTCTCCGGTCACCGACTTCCGCGAAGCAACCTGTCGTCAGTTTGAGGAGAATAATTGTAATCGAGGTGGCTACTGTAATTTCATGCACGTTAAAGTTATTGGGAGGGAGTTGAGAAGAAAGCTCTTTGGAAAGCACGGGGGCTACAGGGTGAGTCGTAGCCGGAGCAGGAGTGTGAGTCCACGCCAGAGGAGGGATTATGACAGACGTGAGAGGGACCATCGGGACCGTGACCGAGACCGCGATAGGGGTGACAGGGATTACCGTGGTAACGGGAGAAGGCAGGACAGGCATGAGAGGGATGGTGGAAAGAGAAGACATGGGAGTCCTCGGCGCAGCAGGAGCCCTGCTCGGGATGCTAGGGAAGGTAGCGAGGAGCGTAGAGCGCGGATTGAGCAGTGGAACCGAGAAAGGGAGGAGAAGCAGTAAAGGAAGCCTTTTTTCCTGTTGTGTTGTTATTCTTCTATCAGGGAGGCGTTTTAGTTGGCTCGGGCTATTGAATTTTTCAGCTATCGGTAATCGTTTCTGGGTTATGATGTTTACGCCCTCTGGAACAAACCCTGAATTGAACCTTTCTTCCTTTTATCCCTGAGTGGAACCGTTCTCACCTTACCTGCTATAATGGTCTTTAATGGTGTCAGTTGTAGCAGCTCTGTTGAATAGTTTTCCAGTTTATGTTTAAAATTAGTGCTTTGGTTGAACCTGTAGCTTAATTCTTCATTTTTCTTTGCCAATAACTGTGATGAGATAATTGTGTCTTTTGTGTTATGCTTTGTATTCACTTTATAACCAAGTCTTAAACTCACATCTATTGTCTATGCCCTGCAAACTGGTGTCTTCTTTTTTATGACATCTGGAGAACACCTTTTGCACATTGCATTTTCTCTGTTTGTTAATCTTAGTTGATATCTTTCAGGATTATTTGACTACTTTTGCAGGTTCATAGGTGTCACTGATTACTTTATTTGGTTCAGATGGATTTCTGCTTCTGCCATATTATGTTATGGGAGTTGCTTCCCTCCAAATTGTTAAGTTGGGATTAGATGGGTGGTTTTGCAATTAAGTCAATTGATTGTTCTGAGATTCTACAATTTGGTAAACCGTGGTGAGTGGTGATTGCTCATCAGTTGCTGTTTCTTTTTATGAGATAAAGGATTCTTAGCGTTTACGTTCTAATTTATGCTATACAGCTGAATGTTACTTAGAAAGGTGAATAACGCACAGATATTGCAGTCCGTTTTTATTGCTTTAAGTATGTGTAAATTTTCACATCTGTAAAATCACTGTTGGAGCACTTGGGAGTTGAGTGGACCTGTGATAAGACCAAAGTGTCAGTTGGCTAATGGGATTTCTAACAGAAGTTTGTGAACCGTCTGGGTGCATTTGTTTAGTGTATTGAAATGATTGTAGAGTGTTAGCAGGCAAGTCACCTGCTCGTTGGAACCTGCTAAGGAGGGAGTTGTATGATTCTGGTGTTTGAAAATGACAAAGCTAGGGTGGAGTCATTAAAGCCCTTTGGCAGAAACAGTTGAGTATGTTTCTCTCATTTAAAACTCTAGGCCAACCTCCAATTTAAGGCATTATTACTTGTTATAAAGTGTTTTCAGAAATCAAATCAAATCAACTGAGCATATTTTTATTACAATATACAGGGTTGTAGAGTGGTGCAGGCAATGCTGAATTGTGTCATGCATGGCCTATTTATAAAAGTGGAAGCTGTTATTTATTTATTTATTTATTTTTTGAAAATAAAAAGTGGAAGCTGTTAGTTAGATAAAAAAGTGGAAGCTGTTAGTTAGATAAGATTAAATGGGATTTTCTTTCATCCTGAGCACCCCTCCCCAGCTCTGCTTTTGAACTAACTGTAAGCTATTCAGCTTGTAGCTGCATATTTATAGATTGATAATCTTTCTTCTAGCTCTAGGAATTCCAAAGGTAAGTTTTGCTTGCACCTTTAATCCTCAAGGATATATATAGGGAAAAGGGTAGCTTCTTGTTATGTAACATGGGGAGTCAGCTCTGTATGGGATGGAAGGATTGAATCAGGGTGCTCACCTTGAGTCTGATTCTATTCAAAGCTGTATGGATGAAACTATGAGAAATCAAGAAATGTCAGCCATTGACTTGGGTTAGGGAACTCAACTCTAAGCGGCTGATCCTAACACCTCGGCCCTGAACTTATTAGGCTTAATCAATCCTATCATAAATGAGGCCTAAGAACCCAGTCTGTGGTGGTGGTAGAATGGAATGCCAGAGTGTGCACCATCTGCCTTCCTATTGGTCCGATGATGACAAACCGTCACAGCACAAGTCTCAAACGAATCAGTTCCCAAGTGGTACTACTCTAAACGCAAACGAAAACGAAAACCAAGAGTCCTCGAAGACTTTCCTTTTCACAGGTGCCGGTCGCCAAGGCCTCTCTGATTTCACTACAGATACCAGTTTATTTTTTTTGTTCTTTTCTTGTGTCTTTGTAAATAAGTAGTACAGTAGAAGATTTCTTAATAGATTTGGAAGCGGAATGTAGGAGACTGGGACTGTTGCTTCAGCGTTTCATCGCTGAAAATCAAGCTCTTCGCCTCAGTTTGCAGAAGGGTAGTGCATTTGGTGCATCCTCAGCCAAGCAGGAGTCTGCTGTGCTCTTGTTGGGTATGAACTTGTCATTGCTTTTTTAATTTCTCCTCTCTTGTAGTAGTTGTAGACTTGTAGTGATATGGGAAATTTATCCAGAAATAAGAGAGATTACTGCTTGTGCTACCGCCCAGAGCATTGGATAGTTGTAGTGATAACCAGAATATTTTGTTTCTCAAATATGCAAACCACCACTCATCTAGCTACTTTAGGCTTTAACTGATGCATTCTTTGTTGGTGTTGGTTATTTATTGTGATGTTGTGGTTGCTTATGAATGGTTTGTCTTTTTTTGGCCTATTGATCACTGAGTGTTATTGTATGTGTTTATCTTGATCTCTGACTCTGCAGAATCCCTGCTGTTGGGTTCCCTGCTTTGGTTCCTGGGCATCATGTGCCCATATTCAATCTGCCAAAACTGCCCAAGTCAATAGTGGTGCCACTGCCAGGTCCAAAAGGGAAAGGTCCAGGAAGTCCGGCTCTAAAAGGGGCAGGGAAAGGGAGTAATGTGGTAGTAGAATCTTTTCTAAAGAGCCGGGGATGCAAAGCTTCAAGGATGAAGATGAAATTGAAATTTCTAGGTCTCCATGTCTCAGCATGAAACTTGCTAGCTGGTATTCCATTTTAGCGCATGGGGGATGAGTAAGACCGTAAGAGGATGGTGTGTGGCTGAGTTCACTTATCCTTCTCTCCAATATAAATAATTGGTTAAATCCTTAATTTGGTCCCTAAACTATTATATGGGCTCTC